GTGGCCGGGAGCGGCCACTGCACTCCAGTCTGGGTGACAGAGTGAGACTCCAACTCAAAAAAAAACAAAAAGAAAATTGAGATAGAGTATTATTATGTTGCCCAGGTGGGTCTTGAACTCCTGGACTGAAGTATTCCTTACACCTTGACCTCTCAAAGTGTTGGGATTAAGGTGTGAGCCACCATGCCCAGCCAAGAGTGGTTTCTTTTGCCCAGCCTGGAGTGCAGTGGCATGCTCACAGCCACCGCAGCCTTGACCTGCTGGGCTCAGGTGATCCTTCTGCCTCAGCCTTCCAAGTAGCTGGAAACACAGGCATGCACCACCATGCCTGGCTAATTTTTTGATAGAGACGAGGCCTCCCCAAGTTGCCAAGGCTATTCTCAAACCCCTGGACTCAGGCAATCCTCTTGCCTCTGCCTCCCAAAATGCTGGGATTACTGAGCCACTGTGCCCAGTTAGCTTTTTGCCCTGCTAGATGTTCTAAGGCCTCTGTGTCTGGCTCTTGTACTTAAATCTGCCCCAGGAACCCATCCTCACCTGTCAGGATAGTATCCCCAGTGCAGAAGAACCTGCTTATCCCTCTTCATGACTGGTCGTACCCATTCCTCTGGGGATAGAGGCAGAGAAGAGAGAGAGATAAGCTCAAGGGGGACACAAAAAATAACTGTCCAAAAGCCCTAACTAAGCTCTCTCCTGTTGCAGCAGGGGACTTGGAAATAGGAACTCAAGCTGCTGGGAGGACTCAGGGCTGAAAGAAGAGGAACCCAGATGCTGCAGGGTGATCTGAGTAGTCCTCTGCCTCCTCATCCAAGCCATCCACTGCACTGGCCAGGAAACCAGCTCTCACCTTCTTCTAGGTTCCCCGGGACAGGATACACAACATGGGAGGCGTTGCTCTTATCCTCAGTGACCGTCCCCTGGAAGATACAGGAGAAGCAGGTAAAGATGGTAGCCTCTGAATTACTCATGGGTGAAAAAAAACAAAGGAAGATTAAGTCACAGAACTGCCTTCCTAATCATATTTTGCTCAGAATGATATTAGAGTCAGCTTGCATTCTCTAAGCACATAGCAGCTGAGTAGCAGAGGCAAACAGCTGGGATTGTGCTAATAATGGAGAAAAGTCAAAGAATTAAAAACTGCTACAGATAATCCTCTGAACAGCTCATCTACACAAGGGAATGTAAAGTCAACTGTATGTCCCTATCAATGACATCTGCTCATTATTACAAAGTTCCAAAGAGCAAGGATTTAATTTATCTGAAATCAAGCAATCTCTAGCTCAATGGAAGTGGACACTGTTTTCCCCCAGGCCGGCAGTCTCTAGGAACAGCAATGGAAAATGGAGAGACTCGAGGCTTTAATGCTAGTCTTTTTCCAAGTAGACAGAGCTACCTCTGCAGTAGAAAACATAGTAATTCTGGGCTGCTTCTTGGCATAGAAAACATCAGGAAGAGTCAAGGAGTTTCTAAACCCTCTCCTGAGCAGCCCACTCACCTGGTGTCTCTTGATAATGTCCTTTAATTTCCCTAGCAGTTTGGGCTCAATTTCTGGGCACAGAAAAATGTTAGGCCGAGACAGGCAATTGTTCTGTGGGGAGAAGAAACAGATGGAATGAGATCATGGGAAAAAGGGAAAGGGGTGTTTTGGATTCTCACAGAGGGAAGGGAGATGGATGGGGGATGTTCCTCACTATTACCTGCACCAAGGACTTCTCAATGGTCATGAACATTTCCACGTTGCGGTCCATGCGTGATGGATTCTGGAAATCGTAACGCCGCCTTATGAAGAGACAATAACCTAGTGAGTATCAGAGCTCAGGCCTGGGGTTGAGGGGAGGGCACGTGACTTCTTAACATGGGAAATGAGGGGGCAATCTTGTTCATAGCTGTCACCAAGATCACCTGGGATGTGAGGGTCACTGATTTCAACTCCACAAATCATTCTGTGCTTAGTGCAAAAGGACAAAAAAGAGCTTGCGGTGCCGACCTAAGAATCCCTTTTCCTCTATAAAACACACACTTAATACATACATTTGGAGAACAGTTTGGCTCTGACTCCCAGCCATTTTCCTGACCTATTAAGTCAGGTCTATTGACCTAGGAAAATAAGACTTGCAAGAATTTTTATCTGTGTTCTCCCACCCCAGAGAGACCCCAGGGGATCCTAAGAGGGGATTCCCTCTAAACTAACTGTGAGAAGCACAGAGAGAAAGCAGCTCACCATCCCTGGTCACTCTTGAATTTGTAGGCAGCTGCAAGTATGTGGCACAGGGCGCCTCCTGCTTTGAAATCTAGGAAACATTTGATCTACAAAATCAAGACAGGGAAGAGCATGTGAGAGTTCCATTGTTGATTCTCCCAGCACTTCAGAATCCTTTCACAAATCTAGTGCTAGATTGATCTCCCTCTCAAAGCCAGAGGTCTTTTTTTTTTTTGGTGAGTTGAGGTCTCACTCTTTCTCCCAGGCTGCAGTGCAGTGGCATGATCACAGCTCATCACAGCCTCCAACTCCTGGGCTCCAGAGATTCTTCTGCCTCAGCCTCCCAAGTAGCTGGGGCTACAAGCACATGCTACCACGCCTGGCTAATTTTTTTACTTTTTGTAGAAATAAAATCTCACTACATTGCCCAGGCTGCTCTTGATATCCTGGGTTCAAGCAGTCTTCTAGCCTCAGCCTCCCAAAGTGCTAGCCACCACACCCGACAAAAGCTGAAATTCTTTAACCCTTGTGCCACTGTATCATGTGGCTGGAAGAGAGGAAAGAAACCAATATGCAAAAATCACCAACTTGTACACACACTTTATTGAGCTACCTCATTTACCATTACAGAAACCCTATAAGGTGGGTTTATTAATCCCACCTGGAGAAGAGGCTGGACATGGTGGCTTACACCTGTAATCCCAGCACTCTGGGAGGCCAAGGCAGGAGGATTTGCTTGAGCTCTCGAGTTCAAGACCAGCCTGAGCAACATAGCAAGATCTCATCTTTAAAAAAAGAGAGAGAGATGAAGGAACCAAGACTCATAAAGCCTGCTCAAGATTATAGAGACATCAAGTGGTAGAGCAAGGATTTGAACCCAAGCCTTTGCAAATCCAAATTTCATACCCTTTTAACCACTGCACGAGAGGCTTATGGACTGAGCCCAGGCATTCTGAGACAACTTGTTGCACAAAGTACTACTAGGACAAAAGGAATGGTAAGCTGGGGACGAGGCCAAGCCAGTAATGCCCTGACCAGGGTAGGAAATAGCCCAAATCTCAAAAATTACAAAATGTACAAAAAAAAATTTTTTTTGAGTTGGAGTCTCACGCTGTCCGCCAGGCTGGAGTGCAGTGGCATGCTCATGACCACCACAGCCTCGACCTGCTGAACTCAGGTGATCCTTCTGCCTCAGCCTTCCAAGTAGCTGGAACTACAGACATGTGCCACCATGCCCGGCTAATTTTTTTTTTTTTTTGAGTTGGAGTCTCACTCTGTCACTCAGACTGGAGTCCAGTGGCCGATCCCGGCCACCACAGCCTCGACCTGCTGGGCTCCGGTGATCCTTCCACCTCAGTCTTCCAAGTAGATGGAACTACAGGTGCGCACTACCACATCTGGCTAATTTTTGATTTATTGTAGAGATGAGGTCTCGTCAAGTTGCCCAGGCAGGTCTCGAACCCGCGGGCTCAGGCAATCCATTCACCTCGGCCTCCCAAAGTGCTGGGATTACAGGCTGAGCCACCGAGCTCGGCCTTTTTAAAAATTTATTAGAGAGATGAGGTATCGCCAAGTTGTCCAGGTTGGTCTCGAACCCGTGGGCTCAGGCAATCCTCTCATCTCGGCCTCCCAAAGGCGTGAGCCATCACACCCGGCTACAAATGTTTTTTTTTTTTTTTTTTTTTTAATTGGAATCTCACTCTGTTGCCCAAACTGGAATGCAATGGCCACTCCCAGCCACCGCAGCCTCGACCTGCTGGGCTCTGGAGATCCTTCCACCTCAGTCTACCAAGTAGCTGGAACTACAGGTGCGCGCTACCATGCCCGGTTAATTTTTTGATTTATTGTAGAGATGAGGTCTCACCAAGTTGCCCAGGCGGGTCTCGAACCCATGGGCTCAGGCAATCCACTCACCTCGGCCTACCAAAGTGTTGGGATTACAGTACAAATATTTTTAAAAATATAACTCCCTCTGCAGTTTGGATGACACATGCCCTTGCTTTTGCACTCACCGGCAGTTTAGTGAGCGGTGCGTTGCTGACATGTTTGCCAAAAACTTCCTCCTGAAATTGCAGCAACTGTACAACCAGGCTAGATAGAGACTTGTTGGTGGGTGGTTCAGCTTGTATATACTGGGGAGACAGAGGGAAAGGACAGAGAAACAGACCCCAGGTAAATTGTCCACCATCTCCAATATTTCTTCCCCAGTGGCTCTGGAAGCATCTGGAGCAGGAGAAATAGTGCCTTTCCCCCCCATACGTCTAGTGCTACATGGATAGTAGCAGAAGTGAGCTCTGGACACCCCTAACCAGGAAGTTTACATTCTGCTGCCACCAGCCTATGTTGCCAGTGTTGGGTGAGGGGGGGACAGGGACGCTTACTACTCTTCCTCAGCTACACCCTGAAACTGGAGTTGCAGGACCCCGTTATCTTGGCATTTCATCTCCAGCCAATAGCACCGAGGGTTGTAAAAGCTGGAGATTACCGAGGTCCACCATGAAAGCCAAACCTTCGTGGCTCCAAGTGAGACAAAAGTGTTATTTCCTGGGGGAACTCTGTGAAAAAGCTGTGGTTCCCCGTATCGTGTGGCCAAATAAGAAAGGTGCAAGGAGTGAGGTGCAGCAGCCCCCCCCCCCCAAACCCCCCCAGAGAAGGAAAGGATACCACCCAGTCTGATGGGAAAGAGCAAGACAGCTGCCTGCCCGAGGAAACTGCATGAGACAAGCAACCCGATCTGAAATCCTTCCGTGTCAGGCTGCCTAGCACCTGGGTCTTCTGTTCTAATTTAAAACTGAGCCAGGAGACTAACTTTCTCTTTACCTTTTGACCCCAGTTTCCTCCACACTTAATCACAAAGAAGACAGCACCTCACAGCGAGAGGTGTAAAGGGATCTGGGAAGAGGAAGGTAAATGACAAAGAAAGAGCTAAGGGCAGCAAAGCTGAACCAGGTCACAGTTGTCAATCGCCCCAGGGCCAGACTAAGCCCCTAGTCTGATCTCCCTTCAAAAGGTCAAAGGTAGAAGCCTGGGAACCAGAGCCTCACGCTGGGGTAGACAAGCCACAGAAACAGCAGCTGTTAGTCAGGATTTTGACACCCAGAGACCCTGAGCAGGACCAGGTTCATCACCAGGATCAGCAGGGAGTTCTCCTAAGCCACCCAATACACTTCTGACAGGCTGCAAAGCTGGGCAGGAACAACAGGGGAGCTGAAAGAAAGCCACAAAGAGAACCCCTAGCTGGGGGTAGAGAGGAGGAAGAAAGGCAGAACACCTTCAGAGAAAAACCAGGCCTGGAAACAAAGAAGACAGCAGGAAGAGGCCTGGGAGAAAAGACAGGTAAGGATTCTTGAACCCTTTGTTCACTCCCTTATTATCCCCCGTTACGGGGTGGGGGGTGAGGGGCTGGAGGCATAAAGCTCCCCCCGCCTCTGGACCCCAAACCCAAGGCACTGCAAAGCTAGCGTGCGGGGTGACTGCATTGTGAAGCCGAAGAATGGCTGATGAAGGGGCCGCTGCCCGGAACTCCTACACCTGGCCCCCTGAGCGACCGTGTGCCCCTCGGACGGAGGGGGGAGCGCGGTGGAGACAGGTGATCCCAGGGACCTTTTTCGGGCTGATGGGCAGCCCACGGCCTGCTCTGAGGCTGTGTATCCTTCTGCTTTCATGGTCTCTCTCGGAACATACACAAAGCACCGGGGAGGCCTCGGCCGCGCCGGTACCTGGCCCCGCGGGGAGCCGTGGCGGGCGCGGTGGCGGGCACGCTCGGGGCGCGGGGGGGCCATCGGCGCCCCGTCCACCCCCGGCCGGCCGCCCGCGTCTCCCGGAAAGCCAGCGGGGCGGGCGATGGCCAGGCGAGGTGGGCTGCTGGCGCCGGGGCCGCCGGACCGCGGGGAAAACAAGGGGCAGAGGGCGCAGCGGTGG